AAAGATGGTGCAGTGTGAACAGTAACACAACTGCATTGCACTCATGCCCAGTCCACTGGGCTTCACACCTAGAAGCCATTGAAAGACATTGAGGCCCTGGAGCATGTCCAGAGAAGGGCAGCAAAACTGGTGAGGGATCTAGAGCACAAGTCTTATGAGGAGCAGCTGAGGGAGCTGGGATTTAGTCTGGAGAAGAGGAGGCTCAGGGGAGACCTCACTGCGCTCTACAACTTCCTGAAGGGAGGCTGTGGTGAAGACGGGTTTGGCCTCTTCTCCCAGGCAGTGAACAGGACCCGGGGAAATGGCTGCAAGTTGTACCAGAGGAGGTTTAGGTTGGACACAAGGAAAAACTTTCAGAGAGTGGTCAGGCATTGGAATGGCTGCCCAGGGAGGTGGTGGAGTCACCATCCCTGGCAGTGTTTAAGAGGCATCTGGATGAGGAGTGCGAGATACGGTTTAGATTACTGTAGTGGTGGTAATGAGAAGATGGTTGGACTAGATGATCTTCTAGGTTGTTTCCAACCTTGTGATTCTATTATTCTGTACATTACTTAACTGCTAGCACTTAATAGTCAGCATGTTTTAAAAGAGCATTTAATTCTGAGAATATTCTGCATTGTAACATGAAGGTACGGAGCTCTTCTGGCAGTCTTGCAATCATTCCCACTTCCCCTGTAAATCATAACCATCTCACTTTGGTAAGCTCAGTAATCAAAGGTTGGGGTGGTAAGTAGAAAAGGTGGCTCATTACAGAAGTATTAGGAAACAGCTAGAAAAGGAAAATGCAGCAGCTTGAAACAGAAAGACAAGAATAGAGACAAGTGACAATTCATACAAGCCCAAAATAATTTATCTAATTTTAAGCAATGATGACAAGGGAAAATATGTTGATATTTGGGCATGATTGTGTTCCAAGATCTTTGTTTTAGAAAAGAAGAACGCTGAAGGCATAAGACTCCTCCCAAATGCAGAAGGAAAAACTAATATTACTAAGAGACAGTCACTCCAACCAGCAGTCAGATGGACTGTGTCCCCAAGGATTTTCAGAAACTTCTCTTGAGCTGAAGTATAAACTGAGCATAAACATGAAGAAAATATATAGCAATTCTGATGTTTCATATTAAAATAAGTTCTGTAGAAGCATTCACACCCCTTCCCATAAGAAACAGACCACTGTCCAAACAACTACTAGATTTCTCTTCAGATGTCTTTTCTATTCTATACTGTTCTTCATAAAATCTTAGTCCAAGATTTCTGACCTTTCTTTGCTGTCTTGGTCCCTTTCGACTTAGGCTACTATTTGTTCTTCTTAAGCAACACAGAGGACTGCTATTGATACTGTAGTATACTCGATGCCTGAAAGACAATTGGTGCAGCAGAAAAACCAAATACATTGTACTTAGTTCACAATAGCCTAACAGAAATCAAGACTCAGTGCTGTATGTGGTATATCTGTATCAAATAACTGGTAATAAATTCAAGTCAGATTTTCTAGCATAATTGGCATTTCTTAGGTAGTGTCAAGCCCACAGTGGTCTCAGGAAGTTGAAGGTGGGAGTTAACATATCCAGCTCTAATCAGGTAAGCTTGTTATTAGTATATTGAACATGAAAAATAAATATTCATATAACTAAGTTCTACTATCACCTCTCCTAGAGTTCTTGTCCTCTTTACAAGAGAAAACAGAGAAACCATATGAAAGAATTTACTTAATCTCATGCAAGTTAGAATTATTCTAACATTTTAATATGTTCTCATGCAAACCACCAACACAAGAATGAGGGAAGTAATTTATAACTAACTGAATTTCCAAGCAGTGACAGAATAGTTTTTCCAGCAGTACATTTCTGTGATACAATGATCATTAAATCGAACCATCTACATCGGCATTCTCAGCCAGCCTATTGTTTTATAAAAGAAACCAGCTTTTCCAGTTCACTGCAAATAGATAACAGCAATAAAGTTACTGACTACCATCCACTTATTTAAACATTAGATGGCATTTGTTCACTCTATACACAAAGTGAACACGGGAAAGAACTTAGATATTTTTTTCTCTTTAAGGCATTGATGCATCAGAAGCAGGCCTAACAACCTCCATAAATGACAAACAAAGCTCTCTGAAAATTTATTAAGTAATTGAATATAGTGTTACTCTTCTGCATCAGAACTTCAGATGATGAAATACATTTTCAAAGGCACTAAGAAATTAAGTTGTCCTACAGCACTTAGAAGCAGTTGTTTTAATACCATTAAACAGATTTTCTTACCTTGCTGAAGTTTATTATATTACCTGATAAATCAAAGAGAAGTAGAAACAATCATCACAGAATCATACAGAATCACAGAATGGCCAGGATTGGAAAGTAGCTGAAGGATCATGAATCTCCAACCCCCCTGCCACATACAGGGCCACCAACCTCCCCATTTAATACTAGGCAACTTCTGCTCACACATTCTACCTTTACAGTGTCATAGCCTGCAAGTAGAACAGGTGACTCTTCATTTCAAGTGGCTGAATTACAGCTTATCCCAGCACCTTTGAGTTTCACACTAAGGAACATAGTGCTCACAACAAAAGAATAAGATGCCAGCATACATCATTACACCTTACTATAAGTTGCACAGACCAGACACAAAAAAGGTAAGAAGGGAAAATCACATATGACCCAGCTTTCACAGCATATACAAATAAGGGAACTGTAACACCATCATGCAATGGAAAGTGCAGCAACGACAGCAAAGCCCCAGGCTACAACAGCTGAGCATACGTTCAAATACAGCAGCCACAGCACAGCAATAAAGGAAAGATATAAGAAAGAATCTACTTACTCTCAGAAGGCCTCATGTATGTGTGAATCTCCAGCAAGACACCCTTGCCTCTACTGCTTCAACCCTTAAATGAGGTCTGGGAAGGGGTTGATCCTGGCTCAACCCCTTTCAGTCACTCAGGTGCACTGCATTGCATGCAACTGAACTCACATGGGTTGGCCCTACCTCTCTACCAGGTGCTCAATCTCTGCTTCAGGCCATGACTTAGTATTTCCACTACAGGAACCTGAAGTACTCAGGAACTCAAAAGTAATCACAGACAAACGTAACAACTGAACACTATTTATTAAGGACTTAGATAAGTTAAAAAATGAAACAGGTCAACTTCTTAAAGAAGCCCATATTCATGATGAACATCTCCAATGCACGTATTCCCACATAACAATAATATACCGGTAACACTATAAAAAAAAAAGTTTTTGTCACAGTACAAAGGCTATCAGCTCTATAGGATGAAAAACCAAACTTGATAGGCTCAAGCCCACGCTAGCCAGGTGATACAGAGAAGAAGTCAGCTAGGAGCCCAACTCACCAAACAAACTAACAGAGATGAAACAGGCCCACAGGTAAACTAGTCTAGCCTGCCTTAGGGCAGGCCCTTACCCATGAGAAGCATAGATGTAGTACCACCACTTCTGAAGACAAACATCAATAATACAGCTCAGGTAGTAAAGACCAGGCTTTAAATAAAGCATCACCCATGGGCACAGGTGCGGGTGGAGGCCCCAGGTGAAAACAGGGTAATTAACACTTCAGTGTATCCAGAGATCTGATAAGTTTTAGGAGCTTTCTGAAAAGCCTGTTAAATCATTAATGATTTTTCATTAAGTTCTACTCATTGGAATGAGGTTCTACGTGCTACCACCAGGACATCACTAAAGGAAGAAATATTAGTATCTAAGAACTATCACTTCTAAAAGATCAGATATAAATTTTAGCAACTGCCTTTACTGATGAGGTAGCTGTATGGGAACTATTGAATCACGGCCTGAACCTCTGATTGATCACCTGAGGCAAGCACTGAGTCAGCCATGGGAGTACAGGTGAAGGCAATTCAGCTGCGTGACCTGAAGGGGGTGGAGCCTGGCTGCATCTCTCCAAGACCCCATTTAAGGGCTGACTGCCACTAAGGAAGGTCCTCTGCCTGGAGGTTGATCCTGTTGAGTTTTCCTACTGGCCCAGGGTACAGGTGAGTGGTTTTATTTTTATTTTATTTTTTTTTTTTTCCTGCCATGAAATCTTTCTAGCTGTCCGCTCCATTGGTACCACCCCAACCACTCTGTATGTTTGTTGATTATACAGGTAGTGCAGAAGAGCATTCAGAAACAAAATGCTTTGTAGTATATTAAATGCTTTAGTAGTAAAAAGTCACCTAAGTCACTTGTTTCTATTTTCTTCTATGTTTTCACTTGCTAATAGGTGCTGCTACTGGTGACACATGCAGGTATTGGACAAATATATGATCAGATTTCCCTGTTTTGAGAGCTTGTATGAGTGATTTAGGAAAGCATAAAAACTTTTTTTACCAAGTAAACTCTATGTCAACAATGATGTACAGAGTAATGCCAGATATCCAGTGTATATAGTGGATATGTTAGTATTTGTTTCCAAAAGCAAGAAGTACTACAGTGTTTTTGTTTGCATTGGGCTAGGAGGAAGAAAAAGTAATTAACAACTTGAATGCTTCTATCTTTAATAGATTTTACTGACAGTAATAATATTACTAATGCCTTCTTCATTAGAATATATGGACAATTCACCTTTACATGACTGAAAACAATGAAGTGACCTGCTATTTAAATCAGGCAGCAACTCATATAAACTTGTGAGGCAAAAATAAATTGTTCAGATGGAAGACTGAATCAAAGTACAAAATATTCTTAACTTACAAGATATGGCTTCAAAGGAAGTACCAAAAATGTTCCCAGAAAGGATGCTCAGAATTCTTAGAAAGCTTGGAACGACTTCATAGACAGCTGCAGATTGCTAGAAAGAACTAGGAATGGTCTCACAAAGAACAAATGCTCTTTAGAAGATGTATAGCTGGCCATGAAATACAAAAGCAAATGATGAGGGAACATTCCTCCCCATAAGTTAGTAGTAAGAAATTGACCATAAAAAAAAAAAAAAGCAGAAAGTAATGCAGTTGAAAATATCTGAACACTCACTGTGTTGGATTTTCAGTTTGATATTTGAAACACAGCAAAGACAGTGATGGGCAACGTTCGATTTCTCTAAGAGCTGATGTCTACTCCCTTGGAACTGTTGGATCTGCAAGGAGAAACGAGTCATTCTTGAAGATCAGCTGCCATCTAGTGAATATTGAGAAAATTGTGTTGGCTTTGTTTTGCTTTCGGTTTTATTGCTGTTTTTTCGGGGGGGTTGACAGTTTAGACAAGATTCTTGTAGGTAGATCTTTTTGCCACTTTGTCAGTATTGAATCTTGTGTCTGGAAGAGTTTTGGGAACGCTCAAAGGTATGCATTCCACTCCAGGGCAGCCACTCAGCAATGCTTCCCATGGATACTCATAAATAAGGTTTTCATTTTGCCATTATCTCTCTCTCAAAAAAAGGCAATTTTGCGCACTTTCAAAAAGCTGTATTAATAATTTTGTGGCTCTGCTTCTCTTTAATGAGTTCCTATGAGGTATTTAGAATTAGCTGAACTAACAACGTTGCCTCTTTTTGTACTGTTTTGTGTACAGCCCTTGGCTCACACAGGACCACGATAAAGCGGGAAGCCGTCAGAAGGACGAACAGCCCGGTCCTGAAGTGCATCCCTGCCCGCCCCGTGAGACGGGGATCCCAGTTCTGGGGGGGGGTGTCTCAGGTGGAGTCTGTGCGTGTAATTTTACTCACAATCAAGCTATTGACGAGACTGAAATTATGCACACCATAAATCTCACAGATGATGGTTTTATCTCGCATCCTAGCAGGTTTTTGCGGACCTGCTGCTACAGCTGACGCAACCCCAGCCACCGGTGGAACACGCACTCCGCCCAGCGAAGCCAAGCGCCGCCGGGACTCACGGGAAGGAGGCGGGAACGTGTGAGGGGAGGCGGAGCCCCACCGCGTGCGCGTGCTCGCGGCGCAGGCGCGGGAAGTGGTGCGGACTGTAATCCGCGGGGGCGGGCGGCGTGCCGCCGGCTGCGGGTGAGCGAGCAGCGCGCCGCCATGGAACCGGCGCCCCTCAAGCTTCTACCCCCGGACCCCGGGGACGAAGGCACGCAGCGGTGCAGGCTGGGCCCCGCCGCCCTCTCCTCCCTGGGGGTCCGGCTGGGCGCTCCGTTGCGGATCTCCCTGCCCGCCGGCTGCTATCTGTGCACGGCGTGGCCGCGGCCGGACCTGGCGGACGGGTACGTGCAGGCGGACCCGGCCTGCAGCACCGGGCTGACGGCGGCGGCCCCGCGCGGGCTGACGCTGAGCCCCGGCTGCCTGCAGCCGCTGTCCTCTCGCCGCCTACGGGGGGCGGCCGTGCGCGCGGTGCTGCGGGGCGGCGCGCGCGGGCGGCCTGCGGGGCTGCAGGAGGCGGTCCGCGACCTGCTGACCCACGTCTACGTTTCCCCTCGCTACGTCGTGACTGTTGGCCCTCGTGTCCGCGCTCCCGTGGTGCACGTGGAAATTCTCTCCGTAGACCCCGCGACGGAGGAAGCCGGGCTGATAACCCCCCAGACGGACGTGACGATTACGGAGGTGATGACTTTAGAGCGGTACAGGCTCTTAACGGAGGACCCGGCAGAAATTCCTGTGGCGGGGCTGGACGATGTGCGAGACTCTCTGAAGGAGATGGTCGACCTGCCGTTCCGTTTCCCGAGGACGTTTAAGAAGCTGGGGCTTTCCGTCCCCAACGGGGTGCTGCTGGTCGGCCCTCCGGGAGTGGGGAAGACGCTCCTGGTGAAGGCAGTGGCGAAGGAGGTGGGCGCGTATCTGCTGTGCGTCTGCGGCCCCGCGCTGTACGGCTCCAGGCCGGGGGAAAGCGAGGAGAATTTGCGAAGCGTCTTTGAAAAGGGCAGGGAGATGTCCTGTGAGGGCCCGACCGTGCTCTTTATTGATGAGATCGATGCTTTGTGCCCGAAACGACGGAGCTCCAGCAGCGCTCCTGAGGATCGCCTGGTTGCTCAGTTGCTGACGCTGCTGGACGGTGCTGGTGCTGGTAAGGATAGGATGGTGGTTGTGGCAGCGACAAACAGGCCTGACGCCTTGGATCCTGCGCTGAGAAGGCCGGGCAGGTTTGACAGAGAAGTAAGCAGACGTTGCTATCTGTGCTCAGCCCTCTTTTCTCTTTTTGTTTAGGGGATGTGGTAAGGGGACAGTTAATAAAGACGAGCACCCAGTTCACATAGCCAAGCCTGAATTTTACATAATGCATTCAATTAAATAAACCTGTTTGTTATCTAATTCAGCCTTTGTGAACAATGAAATAATAATCTTATTGCTAAGTCAGTTGTTTATATTACCTAAAAACAGGATTTGATGGACAGTGACTAACAGTGTCTTATGAACAACTGATTATACAACAACTGTTCTCTTGGGAAGTAGATGTGAAAGATGCTATAAATAGCTGTAATCTGTGAACTGTTAAGTTCCTCCTGAATTCTTTTGGTTGCAATATAAGTATGTATAAATCTTCAGAAGTTGGTTTAAAGTGGAGGCAAACTTATTTCGTAGAACTGGCCAAACGAGAGGAATATGAAGTAACTACTTGAAAATTTTATCTTCCTTGGGTTAGGTTATTATTGGGACACCGACGCTTACGCAGAGGAGATCCATCCTGCAGATGCTCACCTGTGGTATGCCCATTTCTACAGACGTTGATTTGGTTAAGCTGGCAGAAATGACAACTGGGTATGTTGGAGCTGACCTTACAGCGTTCTGCAGAGAAGCTGCTATGCAGGCTGTGTTCCACAGCTCTTTGGTATGATTGCAAATCAATCAAGAGAAAAGACATGATTATTATCTAACACCCTTTCTCCATTAGCACATAGTTTTACTTGAAAATTTGAACAAGATGAAGAATTCAGAAATTAGAAAAGGAAAATAATTACTGAAAAAAAAAAGTGTTACAAATGTAAGCCTGCTGTTTCACTTAGTCCCTTAAGTTCCTGTCTTCAAAGTAAATTTTCTTCTTTGTGGGTGGAAGGTTTTGCAGGAAGTTTTTGTTACATCTTGTTATGAATGTGTGAAGGCCTGTTTTATTTGATTATTCTAGAGAATCTAGGAATTTGTGTATAGTAACCCTGAATTAGCATCTGTTTGATGTAGTTGGAGCTATGATTTAGGGAGAAAACTTTCTGTGGAATACTTATGTCTGATAAATGTCATGTCATGATCTTGCCATGAAGAGAATATGTTCTACTTTGTTTCATCTATGTGTGTGCACTGCTTGAGCTTGTTAGGGCAGGAATTTGAGTTGTCTTTGGCCTTTTGTGAAATACACTGTATGCTAAAAATGTTGCTAATACACCTTGTTTGTTTTCCTTCAGGATTCAGCTGAAGTGCTAATTAACATGGCAGATTTCCAAGAAGCTTTTAAAAAAATTCAGCCATCCTCTTTCCGAGGTGCAGTTGGACTCAAAGAGTGTAAACCCATCACTTGGGAGCAGATTGGTGGTCTTGAAGATGTGAAGTTGAAGTTAAAACAGGTAACATGCAAATACATTTAGAACAAGAGGCAATTTCTGATTACCTGTTCTCCAAGGTATTCTGTATGTTATGTTATGGAAATGCATTATCTTATGAGTTACATGGTTTTATATTTTATTTTAAGCATTATTTTCTACTACATTAAGTGACAAGCACTATAATAATTTAGCATCAGCATCACAAGATAAGAGCAGCAAGCATAATACAGTGGAATAATTAGTGTGCTTCTGAGTAGCTGATAAACTCTGCAGCAGTCCATCTCTGATTGTATAGCCAGAGGTGGCTCTTGCATATCATCCTTCAAGAGTTGTCTTTTATTGCATTTGAGACTGAGAGAGAAGTTCCAGAAGAGTGGCTGTGCGTGTTTTCTACCAAGGAAGGCAAGTTAGCATTCTGTGTTGCTTTCAAATTAATGTATGCACTAAAGAGTGGAGTATTGTGCTCAGCTGTTCTGTCGGTTGCCTTTGATCTTTAGTTCTGTTACTGAAAATTTCATCCCTTGTTTATGTATTAACAGAGTGTGGAGTGGCCCATGAAATTTCCTCAGGCATTTGTGAGGATGGGGCTGGCTCGTCCAAAGGGTGTTCTTCTCTATGGGCCATCAGGGTGTGCCAAAACCACATTGGTGAAGGCTGTGGCCACAAGTTGTCACTGTTCCTTTCTGTCTGTAAGTGGTGCTGAGCTGTTCTCACCTTATGTTGGAGATTCAGAGAAGATTTTATCTCAGGTACAATTTTCAATTTGTACAAGGTGCAAAGAAAATGGTAGTTAAAACTCTGCCCTGATTATGAAATTGATAACTAACGTATGGTTTCCCATGTATATGAACAGGAAGTCTAGCCCTAAAATGATGACAATTTTAAGCTTTGAAAATATTTCCACCCTCTTGTTTTCATTTCATTGCAGAATTTAATTCAGAAGCAGAATTTGTCTGTAGGAATGGCAGCTGGAATGGCTTCTTGAATAAATGTTTGTTCTTGCGTGTGAATAAGTTTAAGTCCACATCGCTAAGTAAAAATAAGACTATATGCAAACAAGCGGTTTCACCTTACCTGAAACAACATATGTGCATTAACATTTGTTTTTAAAAATCCAAAAAACAGGTTTTCCACCAAGCGAGAGCAAATTCCCCAGCAATAATCTTCCTGGATGAAATTGATTCTATCCTGGGATCTCGATCGCGCGGTAAAACTGGCCGTGGTGTCTCAGAGCGGGTGCTGTCTGTGCTTCTCAATGAGTTGGATGGTGTTGGACTGAAAGTCACAGAAAGAAGAGGGAATAAACTACAGCTTGAGGGGAGATGTGAGGAACTAAGTGATGAGGAAAGACAGGTATTGAAGTTCCCTTTTCTGTGTGGTACGGATGATAAGTGCAGCCCAAGTGTCAAAAAACTTGAATTGTCATTCATGCTTTTAAACTTAAAATCCTCAACCTTAAAAAGATGCTATTCTACTTCATTTCTGATTTTTTTTATAAAATACTGTATGAAGGCTGCTCACTGTCTTTATAAATCTGTTCCTCAATGAAACTTTGAACAAAATACCAACACAGGCTCATGAACAGAAATAACTGGGGTACATTTTGTGTCACAAATCATCTTCCTTGACAAATTCTTTTGGACTGTTATTTTTGCTCTTATATAGGTTCATTTTTCATCTCAAAGAAAATGAAGTACTGATACAAAAAGGAAAATAATTACATGCTGAGATGCATTTTCTGTTCTCCCTCCCCCTTTTGTCACTAATAGTTAACAAATATGTAAACCTCTCTTAATTGTGTTGCACTAATGCCTTCATACCATCTCTTTGCTCAGCTAGAGTTTCAGGAAACCTTGAGCAGAGATGTCATGGTAGTTGCTGCAACAAATAGGCCAGATATGTTGGATGATGCCTTACTGCGCCCTGGAAGGTTAGACAGAGTGATCTATATTCCACCTCCAGATCTAAAGGTGATGTATCACAAATCCATCTGTGGTGTTAAATGGGGAGAGAAAAATTGCCAGCATACTTTCAGAACAAAAAGAACATAATCTAATGTGCTTCAGAATTGAGGGATGGCTCACTGGAGATGAGTTGCCAAACTCAAGATATGTGAAGAAGGGAATAATTACATTTGTAATTTAAATACCAGTAATATTTGGCCTGATTATGTAGGTACACTGCTCATAGAAAATAGGCAGCAATCTGAAGTAATTGTCTGTTTACAAAAACAAACTGTAGAAAGTATTGTAAGACGTTGGCTGTCCTTTCTTCAAATCTTCATTTCCTGTAAGTGTTCATTGGTATAAATGTTTGTCCTCCTTCCCCATCCTAAAAAGAGATGACCCAAAGCAGACTGTGTATGGAAACATATCTAAAATTGGTCTCATTTCATGAAGTGATGAGTAATTGAATACTAGACATGAATATGAGAACCATAAGAGTAAACATCTCTGTTAATAATACTTTACTCTTTCACCAAAAACGTAATTCTGATTTTGTATTTTTCTGTATTTCCTTAGTTCTAA